TATTCAACAAAGTTTATGGATCACTGTAGCGTTAAGAGTTTTTCGGTTTACTAATTACGAATCTGAAATCCGTTTCTAAAAATTCAAAATGGCGGATCCAATATGGCGGACAACTTTACAAAACAAGGAGGGGGTCCTTTATGTTTATTTCATAAACATTATGCTTCCTCATTGTTTGAAGCAAAAAATTCGCTTCCTCGTGAAGGAAGCAATGAATTTGTCCAATTCAATTGATTGATTTAAAAAATTTCGAGTTAAAAATGTTTTAAATTAATTAAATTTTTTGAAAAATAAAGAAAATTTTAATTAATTTTGAGTGTAACATAAACTTTATATATACGAATCGATTCGTTTTAATGCAGGGAATAAAATTATTTCATATATAAACATGAATTTAAATAAACACATCATTTTTTAGCTAAAATGGGAATTTTTGATTTTTTAACTTTCATTAATTCTTTAAATTTCAATCAAATCTATACTTTATATATATCAATCGATTCATCTTGACATAAAGAAGACGATTATATTATATATTACCTTAAATTTTTCGATTTAAAAATTTTTTCAATTAAAAAAAAAATTTTGGAAAAAAGACGATAAAATTTTTTTTTTGGGGTATTTTTAAAAATCCTCTCGTCATTTTTGAGAGATTAATGTGTTAAATAAGCCTACCAAATTTTACCCAAATCCATTAAAACCTGTTAAAGATATCGTGTTCACAAAAACTATCCACACACACATACACACACACACACACACACATACATACACACATACATACATCCGGACAATTGATCAGGATCTCATATAACATGTTTCTATATAGAGGAAAATTGGTTTTCACCATTTTTAAAAATTTTATAAACGAAAGGACTACATAGCTTCCTCCACGAGGAAGTAAAATTGATCGAATTCGATTGAAACTCGTTACTCGGGGGTTTTTTGTGTTGCCGATAAGGAATCTGAAGTTCGTGTTTGAAAATTCAAAATTCATCTGAAACTTGTTACTACACTGAAAAAAAAAATTCTGGTTAGGCTATATTTAACATTACTTTCTAGTTATGTTAACCAGAATTCTCGTTAAAATAACCAGAATTCTAGTTAACCTAACCGGAATCAAAATGTTAACCTTTCCCTAACCAGAATTCTGGTTATTCTAACTAGAATTTTTTTTCAGTGCGCAGTGTATAAGGGTTTTCTGATCTGTTGCTTACACTGTAAAAAAATTAGGGAGTTAACGTTACTGGGAGTTAAATTTTTCGAGTTAAAAATCAACTCAAAAAAGGAGTTAATAATTAAATTAACTCCTTAAAACTAACTCCCTAGGCATAAAATTAACTCGAAAAGCATTAACTCCCTTCGCTTCAACTTCAAAAGGGTGGGACTTTTATATAGCATCCCCTAGGCAGTTGAAATTCATCTCCTTTTTTTTACAGTGTACAACTCGAAAGTCGGTTTTCAAAAATTGAAAATGTCTCCAATATGTTAGACAAATATATATTAAAAATTGGTTTCTAATATTTTTCATTTCGCAATGATAATAAACACTTACAAACAAAATTGATAATCAATAATTTTTCATAAGTTATCTTATAGTAGACATTTTTGTCTATAGCAAATAATTCAATGATAAAATATTTAGATATTATATAACACATTGGCATGAAAATGTTCTCTATTTAGAGAATCACCCATATATTTTAATTTAAAAAATAATCTTGATTTTAGAAAAATAATTTCTATTATATGAAAGAAAAATTTTAATCAGAAAAGAAAATTGAAAAGTTAAAGAAATGTTTAAAAAACAGTAATTGAAATAAAGTAAATAAAAAGTTATAAGTAATAATATATATATATATATATACGTTGTGAGGATATGAGACGCGTATGGGAATCGAGTATAAGTAAGCAATAAAATTTTATGAAAGATTTTAAATACACTTTGTGTTTGTCGATTGAGATAAGGAAAAGATGTTTGGGAGGCTTGTGGAAGATTGAAATTAGCCCCTGGACTTGAGGTGTAACGTATATTCACGCTTGAATCGTCCCGGCTTTTACTGTGTAAACGTGAACGTTTAGACCTTATAGAGATAGGAGGCATATATATATATACGCACCGCGGAGGCAATAATAATGTGTTTGATTTACGATAAAGCGAGACCGGGACGTGCTGCCCGGGTAAGTGGTGCCTGCCTGCAAACCGATCTTCACTCTACCGCACGGGATCGCACTTGCAAGAGAAATCTGCCGATAAAACAGAGGGAAGATCCAAAGAATTTACTCAACCGGTTAGCGAGCGCATATATATATATATATATATAAACTTTAAATTTATTCCCTCTAAGCATTTTCATTAAAATTTCATTTCATTTTAATTTTTTTAAATTTCATTTTAACTAAACATTTCATAATTTTATATATATATACTATTTTACACAGATAGAAAACGTTTGCTGTGGCAGCGAACTATTTGCTGTCACAGCAAATTCCATAAGCTAATATTAGGATAGCGAACAAATTTGCTGTGGGGTCAAAAAAGTTTGCTGTGACAGTGAATTTTTAAAAATTAAGACTTATATTATTTATCACAACAAACTTTTTTGTTGTCATAGCAAAAAATGTAGCTGTGGTTACTAATTTTGATACATCCGATAGCAAACATCAGTTATCATTTGTTAGCAATTTCATTTTTTCCGTGTAGGTAAATTTTTATTGTGCTTTATATATTTATTAATAATTCAAACCTTAAAATCGGTGAATTGTTTCTGCCTTCTGAAGTACCACTTTTCAACTTGTATCTTGTTTAACAATTAAAACACACGAGATTTAAAAAAATTTTAAACACTTCCGAAAGGATATATTGAAAAATTGTGTAAGCATCTCTCAAAGGATCGTTTCTTATTTTAATTATTCTTAATAGAATATAGAAAAGAGGTCAGAAATTAAAGTAAAATCTTATACGTAAGATTAATTTGATATAAGCCAAAAATTTCAATGTATACAACTAAATAGTACGTTACCACAAATATGTAGGAAATTTCTGTCTCACTTAAACTGTCTTTTACTACTGAAATAAAAATTGTAACAACTCAGAAAAGTTATAAAAGAATTTAAAAATAAAATTTAATTAATTAATTACACTGAAATAATTGTTTTTTACTACTGATATCCAATTTAAAAAACTTCGAGGTAATACTAACACTAAAATTATCAGAAATTAAACCGTTCCGTCTGACTGAAACTTATTTTTTTCTACCGATATATACAAATGAAGTTACAAAACTTTTTAAACGCATGTCAGAAAGAAACTCTCATTTACTACTATAAAATAATAAATAATAATGATTAAAACTCAAGTTTATATTTAATTTATTATTTCATTTAATGAAAATTTTAATAAAAATTAATTAAAAATTCTAATTAATAAATATTAATTAAATATTACTAATAATTAATAATCATAAATATGCTTACATAATTTTTGAACGGACATTTAAATTTAAAAATCCACGCGATTATAATTTCATAATTAATTTAATTTTTTGGTGAATTTAAATAAGAATTATAATGTATAATTAAAAACTTGGATATCCAAAAACTTAATTTCAGGTGAAAAATTATTTAGAACGAAAATAATTTTTAAAATGCACGTATACACTTTCAATATATCGACCTTTAACTATTATATAGACACGCGATAGATGAACACGTTTAAACAGGACGAAGCTCGAATTACAACTGATGGGCTTATATACCTATGTAAATTTCTAGTGAATTTTCAAACCGCATTGTTCTGATCCTTTGATTAAAGGACTAAACATATTGTATATACCTGAATGTAAACAAACCGTTTGAAGTGTTTCTCAAATTGGTTTGATAAATATAATTTTATAATTAAATATTTCTAAAAACTTAACTTTAAAATAAAATTAATATATATATACAAATTGAAATTTTTTCACTAATAAACAATTTTTGCCAAAAAAAATAATTAATCAATTTCAAAAAAGTTTTATAATATTTATTATTAATAATTTAATAATAATTATTATTATATTACATTTTATTTATTATTATAAATAAATATTTACTTGAACCAAATAATTTAATTAAATAAACTGCATTTGAACCAATAATAATTTCTGTATCTGAAACACAAATACCATTTAATTGATTCAAATAATAATAATAATAATTATTTGATACAAATAAATATTTATTTGATAATAGTCAAGTAACCGATTATTTGAGTCAAATAATTTATTTTTTTCAGTATATATTAATCAACATATTCTACACTGAGTCACTATAAACAATTATTGGTAAACTGTGCAGAATTTCTTGAACGTTATTCGAAGGCTTTTGCGCTGACAGTTAAAAGGATGATCATCATTATTGTCAGTTTGCGTTTGTTACTTACTTGAAGTGTATATAGACACGAAGTCGTAATTTTCTCTTTTTTATTATATACGCAAACTTTCCGACTTCAAGTTTAAATAACTGATTGACTTTAATGTGATGGTTTTTTTGATGACTTTTTTTTTTTTAAATATTCAAAAATAAAATTTCGTAGTTATAAACTATAAATTAAAATAATGAGATTTACACGTCTTCAATGGAATAAAATTTCAATTTTAATATATAAAGAAATTAAATTTCTAAAAGATACAGGATATATACAAGAACCTAATAAAATGAAAAATGAAATTCAATTACAGTAAGCGCTGATTTTACGCAATAAAATTAATCATGATTTCTCGAAGGTTTTGCCTCGTTTTAAAATCCTCTTATTCAATCGTAAAAGTCATATAAGTGACGAATAATCCATATTCAAATTTACTTTTTTATCTTTTTCTCTCTATATATATATGTACTTATACAGTAAAATGATATCTTGAAGCATAAATATATTAAAAGAATGAATGATTGTCGAACAAGACACGATTTATTGATCGATAGGTCAAATGTATATTATTAAAACTGAACAGAAGGTGAAAATGGATAAGAGCCTTGGTAAATGTTTTATGTGTGAGAAAACGAGTATAATGATGTAGCAGAAAATTTTTGCGTTTTTTTTTTACCGAAAATAATGAATTGTTTATTCCATTCAATTTCGTTATTTTATGTTTTACTTTTCTTCTGATTTATCTATACTTGACAGAAATTTATTACTTTCGACTAAATTCTTGAACTTAGTTAAAAAAAAACGGTAAAATATAATTTATCATATTACTATGTACCTATACATTATATTATCATATAATTATCATATAATAATAATAAGAATAATTTATATTTTATATAATATATATATATAGTATAATAATAAAAAATAATAAAAACAATAATAAAATATTAATAAAAATAAACAACCTTAAAATTACTTGCATTTAAAAATTTTTTAATTCTACTGACAAATTGAAATTATATATTCAATTATGATTAAAATCTTTGCAACTTGATATTCAAAGTTTCATTTAAGAACTACTTTTATTTCTTTTCACTAATTTTTCGAAATTTTCAAATCGTTTAAAGACAAATTAAAAATTAAAAACCCGTATAAAATAAGTTTAAATAAATTTGTTTTCTAGATAAAATTTTTTTTTTTTTAATTCTAATAAGAGAATATTTGTCTGTGATTTCAGGTCCCCGAACAAGAAGGGTGAAACGGCCAAATGAAGGGAAAGTTGCTAATGTAACACCAGAAGAGAAGAGACCAAGAACAAATTTTAGCGGTGAACAGTTGACAAGGTTAAAGAGAGAATTTGCTGAGAATCGATATTTAACTGAACGACGAAGACAACAACTGTCACGTGATTTGGGTTTGAATGAGGCTCAAATTAAAATTTGGTTTCAAAATAAAAGGGCAAAAATTAAAAAGGCCTCGGGACAAAAAAATCCTCTAGCACTTCAATTAATGGCCCAGGGTCTCTACAATCATTCGACAGTCCCGTTGACCAAAGAAGAAGAAGAACAGGCTGCAGAACTTCAAGCCAAATGATGAGTCTAAATTTATATATATATATATATATTAAAAAAAACGAATAAAAAAAAAAGTCAATTGGGCCAACGTTAATTCGATTCGATGAAGAGGAATAACTGACATTTTATTGAGTCTGTAAGCCTCGGAATTATAAAGACTGATAACGAACGAATATAATCGGAGATCAAAAACAAAAAAAAAAAAAAAAAAAAAAGAAAACGGAACTGAAACTGCCAAAGTTCGAGCAAATCTTTTCAGCCTGAGATAATTCGTTGCGTCGCATTTCATTCGACAAAGAAATTCTGTGTAAAAAAAAAATCTTCTGCTTTAAAAAGATATTCTTGAATGGGAGATGCATATAATATGATGTTAACAAAAGTCTTCCAGCAAATTTCACGTATAGACAAAAACAAAATTTTGCAATTTTTAAACAAATGGAGAAATAAACGATATATTCAGAAAAAAATAACTTTGAAGGTACAACAAAATTTTGGCTATTCAAAAATAAATTTACCTAAAATTAAGAGAAAAATAAATTTCTAAAAATATTTCTAAACTATATTATTTTTTGTGCAAGTTCTCATTTACAATATCGCTATGAAAATCATTGATCAAATATTTAAAAAAAAAATAATTTTTATTATAAATATGTAATCTCGTTATTAAATTTATATATATTGTAAATTCTGTTGTGTGTTTGAAATTGAAAATCATATAAATAGCACAAAAAAATTATATATACGAATAAAAAAAAAAAAAAATTAAAAAGCAATGAAGAAAATTATTATTAATATTTAAAAACGAAATAAAATTATGATATATAATGCGACGAATATAAACAATATATTGTGCCATTTTTGTTATTGACGGTGACAACAATTCTATCCAGATATATGTTCTTATTCTTTTTCCCAGTGCATGTGCGTGTATAAAAAATTTTTTTTAAAAAACAATACAATTTCTTTTACTGTCGCGAATTTTGGTATGTGTTATAAAAATGTTGGTGATTTCCGCTATAATTTATAATTGTAAAAATGTAAAATAATACCCCCCCCCTTCTCCTCAAACAATCCCACGAAGCGACAAAAAATAATTGCAACGTGCAATAGATTCTTTATAAATAAATAGAGAGAAAAGTTATAATAGAGAAAAGCTGTTAGTAGGGTGATCTTTAAAAACCAACGTGTACATAACATTCGATTTGTAGCTGTATCATCGTTTATAGACTGTTTAAAGTAACTTAGTTATTTATTTACTTATGTATTAAGAAGCAGAGAAGTACGTACACATATAAAAACCACATTATGCTTGGTGAAAATACAAAACAAAAAAAAAACAGTGATCCTGTACGTGTAAAATTATTTAAAAATCGATAAAATACACTTATTATCAAGCAAACTTAAATATTCTTTTATTTCATCCACCTTTTTCATTTTTATAAGATTACATCATTTTATTAGTATTTTTTTAATGTATTCATAATTTTTACTGATGTAAATAAATAAATAACTATGTAATATTAAGAATAATATTATATATAATAAAATTAATAATTCATATTATTTTAATTATTGTTATTAATTACACAAATTATTTCAATTATTCATATATTTTATTACAATTTTTTTATTCATTTATTTATACAAATTCTGTTTTATTTTATGTGGGTATTGTTCTATTTAACAAAATTTATTAATTTTATTTACTCATTTTTACTAAAGGTAGGTATTTATTTTAATTCTATTTATTAAAAATTAATCTTATTTACATTGATTAAAAATTAATTTTATTTGTTCTTTTATTTAGAGTATGTAATTTAAATACGGAATTTAGTCAAACTAAAAAATTTATTTTGAAAAACTTAAATAAAAAAAAAACAGTTGATGTAATTTCGAAATTTATATATCGTATATATATATACCTTTAACTATTTCAAGGAAATCAAAAAAATTAATCTTTAGTTACCGACCTACTTATTTACCTATATTTGATTTAATTAATTTATTTTTTAATGAATCTAAGGAAAAAATAAATATTGAAATAATATTTAACCGTATCAGAAGCAAAAATTACAAATTATTTTATCCCCCTTAACACCTACCCCAAATACTTTCTTTTTTATAATATAATTATACAAAATTGTACCCATATTTTTCTCCATAAACATATTATGTTGTTAATGGTAAACATGTTTCAAAAATTCTTCCGACATATTGAATCCTATATATTTTTAATTTTTCAAATATAACATCGTACTATCCGGTACTATCATTATGCTAATCAGTACTATCAAAGATGTTACAAAAAGTATGGTTATGTTACTCACTACAATCAAGATGTTACTCCGTACAATCTGGATAGTAACTAATAGAATCTAGATTGCTATTCGTATATGTAAGATCAAATATGGTACCTGGTACAATCTAGATAGTACCCCGTATCATCTATTTCTCTCCGTAATTGATTAAATTGTTACTTACATTTAAAACGATTTACATATTCTTCGAACCCCCATAAGATTAATAACTCCCGCAAATCCAAGGCACTTTTTTAACAATCAATAAATAAAATAATTTATATAATTACATAAAATTTATTAACCTAAACACATAAATGACCACGTTTTCACACGACATTGCTTCACGAGCATGAGTGCGTGCTTCACAGTGTTGCCAACCGAATTGCTAACAACTGCCAACCGCGTTTACTAAAAAAAAAATATGGTAAATCCAACTACTCTGTTAGTTAAACTTTTGCATTGATGATAACTGGCACTATTTTTGTAGAAGTGGTTATTATTTATCACTTCTAAATAGTTGCGCTTGATATCGAAAATATTAAAATTCACTAAAAACATTATTGAATCACAGAAAATTAAAAGGCATTAAAATAAACTGCAACGATTATTATTTTAATCCAATTTTGCTTATTTTAATCCATTTTGGTATTAAAATAAGCAAAATTTTATTAAAATAATAAGCGTTGCAGCTTATTTTAATGATGCCTTTTAATTTTCTGTGATTTTACTAACTAAATAGGCAGGAGAATAAATACTTCCTTTACTCATAAAAATGTAGTAGCCTCAAACTTTTATATCGCTAAGTGATACTTTTTTCTATAAAATTCTCAAAAAAAAAAGATTTTTTTGTTTTGCAAAAACTTTTTTCCGCCATCAGAATTATTTCATATTTTCAGCAAAGACTGTTTATAAATTTAGTCTGTTTAAAGTGCGTCCGCACGACTGATGGGTCACTTACTTTATTTTAACTAAAATTTAACCTGAAAATAAGATAAAGAATTAAAAATAAAAAGAAAGATATTGTTTCCCCCTTTTTTAAGAAATCAAAAACTTTTATCACGTTTGAAAAGAAAGAAATTGAACGTGCATGTAAAATGAGATTGTACTCGATTTGTCTGGCTGTCTATAACACTGCCAGGGCGCAATTCGAGTGGAATAGAGAATTGGCAAAATCAATTCGTATACGTTTTTTCGCGCCCCATTTCATGAAGGGAGAGAGAGAGGGTGTACGAGAGATAAAAGGAATGTAGAGGGTGAAAGAGGACGATACCTATACTATCCGGGATAAAAGCTCTGGGGCGGGTCGATCTGTATTCGCAAAGCATTTGGCGCGCGCATGCTTCACGGAGCAACCCCATGGAAAAACACCCTTCTCTCCCTCTCTTTCTCTCTCTCTCTCTCTCTCTACTCGTGATATCAATTGATTTAGAGTCGAAAGGTGGCCATCGCTGATACCAAACCAGCCACGCCTACATTACCAACCCTGCTCTCTGCATTTACTGCGATACGATCGTGGGTACCTCACACTTCATTTAACCCATAACCATTGGGGCTCGCAAGCGGAACTTTAATCTTCCTATAAAACGACCTGCTACGACTGCCCTCTATCTTCAATCGTCTTTTTCAACTTTAACGCTCTTCAAATTGAATTTACCAACGAGAGCAAGCTTGTTCAATTTTTCTTCACTCATTTATACAATGTATTATTGGTATTATTGTATCTTTCTTTATACGCATATTTGTATATTGATGATGTATTAACTCTGATTTAATTAGGGCGCATGATTATCTCATAAAATCATTAGTTAAAATTTTGATTTTCAAGTATTTTATTAGGTTTATAATGGCACAGGCAGACAAAATTTTGGGCCGACAAATTTTTTTTTTTTCATAACCAAGAAGCAGATTATACTTTTCCAAAGCACTTTGACATAGTACTGAATCCGAATCTGACCTCAGAATCGACTCAGCACGTCAGGTTTTCTAGACTTTCTTACCTAAAAGTGCCAAAAAAACGTTTTTTTGACCATATTTTAGTTCGTTTAACATCAAGAGATAATTTTTTTTCAAAAAGGTTGTTACCACGAAGTGTATAAGAAGCTCATACTTTCCGTAGAAAGTAATAACGATGTTTCTTTTCTGTTCGACGTCTTGTTTATTAGCGATTGGAGTAGGGGAATAGTGTCAGGGTTGGACACAGTTTTGGTTTTTTGTTTATAAATATTTTGTTTAGATAAATTCAGTCAATTGTGGTATATGGGTGGAAAGATCTACAAAAGAGGAACACTTTTGCTGTGGACCGTAAATTGATTGGTCTAAAATTAAAAAAGTTATAAACATTTAAAAAAAAATCTAGTCAGGGTTGGACACTTTTTGAAAATCGAAACGCATTATTGGTAAAAACGTAAAATAACATTTGTAATGTTTTTTATTCTTATTTTTTCATGTTTATCTTTACTTATTGTTTACAAATTGTAAAGCTTCATGGGTTTAAAAAGGGAATGAACTCAAATTACAAAAAAAAAAACGCTTTATTGTTCCAAATAACTCAATGAAATGATGAACAAAATTTATACAATTTAAGAATTATTTTTCTAATATCTTTGGCACAATTTTGCACTGAAATATCAATAAAATAAAATTTATTTATAAATTGTGTCAAATTCATAATTAATATGGGTGTCCAACCCTAACTAGAAGCATCATTTTCGAATTGTACTAACCATAACCAGACATGTGTCGCGATTCGATTTTTCACTTTTTTTCTTCTAAAATTATGTACCCCACAATACATTCAATAAGCTTACCTTGCCGAATTCTTGCTTTTTTACACATTTTTTAGGTTTATTCACAAGTCAAACAAAACTTTTTTTGTCTCTTCGATTGCACCGAAGTCAGAGAAGACGCTACTTTTGATTCTCCAAAAATGTAATGCCACAAAAAGTTAGGTTACACTACTAGAAGATTCGTCACGTACGCACACAGGTGACGCTAGTGTTCTTATTTAAAAAAAAGCCAAATGTCCAACCCTGACACTATTTCCCTATACCTCTAACGAGAAAATGTTGCAACGCCAGAATTTTCTCCTTTTTTATTTGCTAAACACAAAACTTTTTTGAATTTATTAAATTCACATGTCCACCATTTCATCTCTCACCACCTGAGTTGCAATATTTTCTCCGCAAGAGCGCTAGTATCGCTAAGCAGACTCGAATAGAAAAGAAAAATCGTCATCAAAATTTTTCGAATGTATATACCCATAGAATGGGAGCATCCTTATACTACTTCAAAATAAATTTTAAAGAGTATAAGAATAGTACTTTCAGATGATGTTACGACTTTTTTGAAAAAAAAAAATTATCTTTTGATGTTACACAACCACAAACATGGTCAAAAAACCGTCTTTTTTGCACTTTTAGGTTAGAATATCTCGAAAAACTTACCGAATTCTTATTTCACAAAATTTCCCTGTTTACAACTTTTTATTTGAAATAATTCTAATTTAACTGAATTTTCGTTTAGTATATATAATTCTCATTTAATTCAATTTTAAGTGATTCGAATTTTTAATGTGTCAGAATTTCCAATTCACCCAATCTTCATTTGTTCAAATTTTTATTTGTACAAATGGTGATAATAATGATAGCAATATTTATTTCTTTTTTCAATCATGTACACACAATTAGCAGCAGCTGCATTATATCTTTTTAAATTATTTTCACTTTAATTTTAAATTAGGTATTTGGATATTTAACTGCATTTTAATTTAATGAATTTGAAATTTATATTAAATTAATTTATAAGGCAAAAATATATAAGGAAATATTGTATCTGCATAAAGAATCTTCGAGTTGAGTTATTCGGAAGGTGAGAAATGGTAGGTATGACAGAACATGGAACATTGACAGAAGAAATTTTTCAAACGTCGATAAAACAAAGTTGCCCACTTTGGAGGAACATTTCCGTTTACTTCTGGAGAAGAATAATCTTACCGTTGTAGGTAGCGGATCTTGAATTGATGAATATTTTTCATTTCTTTTCACATCCGCTTAACACGAAATATCAATATCTTCAATTTTCCGAGAAAAATGTCAAATAT